AATGAAAGTATATCACCAAATGAGCTACGTTTACAGTCTTGCTTGCGCCACGAGTAGTTTTAGTGGTGTTTAGTGTACAATGAACAACGGCCAGGGGTCGTATATTTCTTATATGAGATATCAACATTATGTACAGCTTCCTTAAGGATTTAAATCTAAAATTTACAAGCATTTAAAATCCTACCAAGGTAATGTCGGACAAGCCCATTTTATGACCAGGGAGGTTAAGTTTGATATTTCCCGTAGATTCTTACAATTTGGGCGTCGATTATCTGCACTTTTTCTCACAATATACCTATTGTCATATCTCTCCCGTTTGTGGATGCTATCGTTCGGTCACTGTGTTTATCTGCTTTGCCCAGTTACATCTATGGGGAACAACTCACTGGACACGCCCCTCTTAAAAATTAACGTCGTCCAGTTTACGACGTCATCAAGTTGCGAGCGCATGTTCGAATCTCCAGATTGTATGTTGTGTTAGTTTGCAAAATGTGATACTTTTTGTATGAAGCTTTAAAGGAAAACGATGTTCCCGTGTATGCGGAGATCAAATAAGGGAGACAACTCGTGGAACTTAAATACAAGTGAATGGGCGAATTTGGTAAGTACGCTTCTTTGATAAATATCCTGGCTATATCACGGCGATGGACACCAGACATCGCTGCCATGGTTAGAATGTAAGCTAGGTCCTCCACTAAACTCCCCAACCGCACTTGAAATTATGTGATTCCAGTAATTTGTCATTAATACATTTATTAAATTGAACCGCAGATCATTGGGCAATCAGCCAAGTTTTCTGTGGTTTTGTACAAGCTAGTTTAGACAACGGCGTGTAGATATTAAACGTTTGACAACATGGCGTTGTGACGTGCATGTTTTCAAACTGCAAATGGTATTGCTCGTTACATTTAGTTCTTACAAGGCTTTTTTAAACCTTCAAGAGGTTGTGTTATTTGTGTAATGCACCCCAAAACACTACGCCGATAATGATAAACAATTTCATGTTCAGGGAAAGAAAAAGGATTATGGTGACAAAACGCAACATTCTTCTATTCCGCCAAGTATATTTTGGTAAAACACAAGAAAGTTTAACTTGGAAGAAATAGTTTCTGTGATTTAGCTATGATATTAATAAATTGAACCATCGTACATTTCGACTGTGACACAATCAAATGTGGATGGAAACAAGGGCCACATGATTCTTTAAAATGTGTTATCGAGGTGAATGCGCATATATAATATAAAACTGTGCAGAGTACAGCCTACACTTCATACGTTCACTCATCCCCTTTGCTGTTATAAGCAGGTCCGTGATTAGAGATTCGGGTTAAATGATTGATTTACCTTATGAAATAGTAGTTGGCTCACAAGAACCCCTTAAAATCCGAAATCAAACTCGTGAACGCTGTTTCAAAGTGTTTCTTGAAGTTTTTATGAACGACGCGGGTTTCTGTTTTTAACAACTGTTGCTCAAACGTGTTTCTTCAGATCAAGTGTCAACAAGAAAGAAAGCTGGGTAGAGTTCAATTTTTTTTATTCAAATGTTATTTCATTGTCATTTTTGATTATCAGTCATTTTCACTTGTTTATCATCAGTGGACCAACTGCATCCAGGTACTGAAGGGGTGTCTTTTCACGGCGATGAAGCTGTTCCTTCTCTCTGTAGACAACCTTCCTGGGTGGCGGTACTGCTCCAAATTGAATCTGCGCTAGTTTCGCTAGTGAGCTAATTTTAACTGCTTTTTGGGAGGTCTGCATTTTGGAGGTCTACGTTATGGGAGGGAACCGTCCATAACAGTGAGATCAACCTTTGTGATGTTAAAAATGACAAAGCGGGTGGTGCATATAAGGATTATCCGGCTGGTTGCCTTTTCAGAACAAAAGATGTTTCATGTGATTACAAGCATTTAGGTAAACACAAATTAGGGAATGAAAAATAGACGATATTCTGTATGTTTGATTTCACAAGGCAGATACGCCCGTATGGCTACAATGTGATCTCAGGATATACAAAGGATATACAAGTTACAGCCGTGGTTGTGGATGGGTGAGTTTAACACACGTTGCTGTCGTTGTGTAGAGACTTTCCAAACCACCATTAGATAAATGATAAACACCCGCCACCTGCTGTTAGTTTATGTCTGTGTACATTGTGTGGTATGCAGTTCTCAGCCATTTGATCTTTCCTAGGATCATTTTGCTAGATCTAGAGATAATTTGTCTTGCTCTCATTTCTAATATTTCAATGCAACAACTCCCAGCTAAATATGAATTTGAAATTTTAGCGTTCATAAAATATGATAATTTACAAAATGCGAATACATGTTTCAGTCATCCTGTGAAATCAGTCATTTCATGAAAAGACTAAAACGTTCAGTCACATTGTGAAATTACTTTTAGGGTTAGTCATTTCTTGAAAGGACTAATTTGTTCCAGTCATTTTATTAAATGACAAATTTTTCTAGTCATTTCATGAAAGGACTGAAATTAATTGCCAGATATTTCATGAAATAATCAAAGAGTTTCAAAAAGGATTAATTAAGTGTGAAAAAAGTAATTCTTATTCACGTATTTCATTTACTCATTTAGATGGCTTACAGCGATGGTTTCTTGCTTCACTAAAATTTGAATGCGTAATGAATACACACCTACCTGACACTTGACCCGTGAGGATCCGGGGTTAAATAGGTCTTCAGCAACCCATTCTTGCCGTAAAAGGCGACTATGCATGTCGTAAGAGGCGACTAACGGGATCGGGTGGTCAGACTCGCTGACTTGGTTGAAGCATGTCATCGATCCCAATTGCGTGGATCGATGCTCATGATATCAAACACTGGATTATGTGGTCCAGACTCGATTATTTACAGACCGCCGTCATATAGCTGGAATATTGCTGAGTGAGGCGTAAAACAACCAACCAACCCTATACCTCACACTTAGACACAATCATGTCAAGGGCTGATTGTCACTTATGTGACTGATTATTTGTGTTGTGAGAATTTAAACTATGGTGACAGCTGCCGTTGCACATCAGTTTGACCTTAGGGCAGTTTATTGAAGTAATTGGTGAGTGTTGTTTGATCGTAGATGGATTTCGCTATTTGACTGCTTGCATCACTTAGGTTAATTAAAACAGTCACTTTTCAGTCATTTTATGAAATGACTAATCCTGCTGGTCATTTCACGAAATGACTGAAAGTTTTAGTTATTTACCGAAGACTTTAACATATACAGTGTATATTCTATTAAGTGATTAAAATAAGTCAAGATAATGAAGATATTATTTCATAAGAGTACATGCATGTGTCATACGCATTTAAATAAAAGCGACAAAACCCTTTCCATGATGAAAATAAATGTGCGCAAAAAGCAGAGTCCATTTATGATATCGAGACTGGTGGATCGTTTCTGTCGTGAATCGAGGCACGGGTGTATAGCCATGTTAAATACATGTGGTGTAGTTAACGTCGAAACGCTTTAACGGTTATTGTATCCAGCAATAAGAGGAAGTCTCTCACTCTCAATAATTGGGATGTTTTATAAAAGGTCCTTTGGGCATTGAATCTTGACAGGTCATTCATCAATATCAAGCACTTTCCACTCGTTAATCTCTGTGGATAAAACTACCTTTATGATACTATGCAAGGTAGATTTTATTACACATAGCGGTGTGCAACCTAATGGCTTCTGAGTAGGAGGGTGCGTACTTGAAATATATGTCACCTGGTGTCAAACAGCTTTAGTTCGTTGTTTGTATGACGTAGTTCTTTCCAGTTTCCTATTAATGATGACGTAGGACATATATCCTGTTCTGAATTATTCGTACGTCTGGGTTGTATATTTCTGTAGAAATGTATTTTATGACGTTTCTTTCATGACATTCTTTTGTGTAGGACATTTTCAAATCAGTGACCACAATAATGCCTATTGCTATTCCGTATTTTCACTTTTACTATATGTTCCAGTGTTTACTTGGGTGAGCACTTGCCCAGCCTTGTGCTTGTAATGGGGGACACCAGGTATCATCACTAATTGAGATAGTGAGTGAGTGAGTGAGTGAGTTGTGTTTAACGCCGCTTTTAACAGTATTCCAGTTATATCACGGCGTGTCAGCTTAATGTGGGAGGAAAGCCCGAAGTGATGCAGGTCTCCGACGTTTACCACTTCGGTGAAACCCACGAGCACGGGTATGGTGCTGACAAACCTAGAAACATAATCGGGGCGAACCGGGATTTGAACCCACAATCATAGGTTTCTGGTGTGCCCAAGGGACGCAACTCTGCACAGCGAATCGCGGCGCCTTAGACGACTGGGCCACCCGTGCCCCCGCATTGAGAGAGATTCATAAACACATTCTGGTGATATAGTCGGAATGGGCTCTGCTCTTTATCGGAAATGGGGCGGTCGGGTAGCCTAGTGGTTAAAGGGGCACTGATCTAACGGACTGGTTGTTGCCTTTGTTATTGTTTTTCCCCCGTGAGTACCCGGATGATACGCAACGCAACTGAGCGTGACCAGAGACTGGGGTACCGTCTGCAAGGACAGCTAAATAAACTTGGAGGCTGGAGGCAATATTTGTTTTACGCATTTTTGAACACTGATTGGTTAAAGCGTTCGCTCGTCACGCCGAAGACCCGGGTTCGATTCCCGACATGGGTACAATGCGTGAAGCCCATTTCTGGTGTCCCCCGCCATGATATTGCTGGAATATTGCTAAAAGCGGCGTAAAACCATACTCACTCACATTATCGGAAATGTATAATCATGGTTATTCAAAGCGTGTGGTCGCGTTTATTTTAATGAACAAGTGACAAGTGTCAAACTGAAAACACATAAGGCCACCGGCATTTACCGAAATAGGTCCATTCTAATAAACGCCACAATAACTCGTCAGATAGCACTATAAGAATACACATTGAAAACAACATGACGAAATTTTGTTGTTTAGACATGATCCATATGTATAAAATGAACAAAATAAAACAACCCGAAAAAACAAATGATTGATTGACTAGATTTATTCGTCAGCATAAATCTAGCATGAGTTGTAAACATATCTGTCCTGTTTAAGCGGTACAGTGAGTCAGCAATGAGCTTGACACTGAATCAAGCGTGATTGATTACTGTCCGTGTGTCGATGTTTGTTGTATATTTAGCCTGCTTTAGTTTGAAAAAGGTGTGCGTGAGATAGAAACTGCCGGACAAAACAATGCCTTTACTTGAAAATTGGATTTGACCAAACAAATTACAAGCGATATTAAAACTTTACTAGGCTGAAAACAATCGCCCAAACAAGGTAAAGGTAAAGTGCTCAGTGTTTCGTTGAGATATTAAAGAGTAACACGATACAATCTCAGTGCAGAATAAGACACCAGTGACTCACAAAGAACATATATAAAGTTGTAGTCATTATCAAGGCTTCATTTCGGATTATTGGTATTGCTATCAAGGATGTCACCTAGACTCACAATAATCCGATTTTTTTAAAACCTAGAGTAACTGATAACTGTTTTCAGGAGAGCGAAATTCAATATGGGAGGCCGATTTGTTTTGTTAGTGCTAGTGTGTGTTAGTGTCAATATGTGCGTGTGTATGCATATGCCTCACAATTTAAATACATAATAATATAGTTATGCAGATTCTGAACAGTATGTTATGTAGAGACAAGCATGTCATTACATATGACTTACATAGACTTAACTGAACTCCTTTCAACAACTTGCAAATTCAACAGCGACCATAAACGCCACAGAATCGCCTGAAGGTTCTCAATATATGTCGTGATATGCCGTCATGATTCCAGTATGCACAAGAAATAAATAACTTTCTGGTGCTTAATCCAGCAGGGTGTCGCAATTTATGTCACTGTTGAAATTATTAGACGTCCAAATGTTATTTGTGACTCGATGGGACTGCGTACAATCATTGATATCAAATGAATCAAATATACTGGAATCCACACCATGAAATGCATTATTCGTCTGACGAAACTCAGGCCAGGAACTTGAATGCGTTTCGGGGAGCATATCCAAGGCTACAGAAGAGACCTCAGTGCTTTGGCCATTTGATGTCTCATCGCACTTACCCGAACTTCTTGATCTCCTTTTAGGCATTGACAATTCCACCCTTTTCCAGAATTTCTCAACTCTTTTATCATTTCCGTCCTTCGGCCATTCAATATATGTGATTGTATCCAAAATGGTACTAAGAGTGTCGTCCATATAAACCCGGTCCTCCGAAATGTCCTGAAGCACTATGGGTATTATTCTCTGCTTCCGCTTCAGCATTTCGTGCTGCGCTCTCTGGTACTCGAATCTGCAAAACTCACTCTGGATGTAACTAGGCGTCAATATCATGATTGTTCGACGACTGTTCTCAACTGCTTCAATGATATTATTTGCAATTGCTGCAAAAGAAGTGCCAGAGAGATATTATACACACTCATGATTCATGTGTCATTTGAAAACAACAACTGCTTAGGCATTTAATTGTACAGTCATGAATATACTTGTCAAAAGGTAGGAAGTCTTGAAATGCGTGTACGGATAATGTTCACTATTAGTATTGCGATATTGATGAAATAGAATTGTGATTTTTCAATGAAAGATGTCACGGCTGTAATGATATTGGGCCATCGGCAATTGCAGTACATTGACAAATAGAGCCATCGTTTCTCATTTGCATTGTTGAGTTAATTATATGAATTACCACTATCCCATGCATATTCTTATCTAACAAACCCCACACGAAACGTCGTGTGTTTGTGTGTTGTTTAATACCGTTCTTGGCAATATTCCAGCTTTTTGACGGCGGTCTGTAAATAATCGAGCCTGGACCAGACAATCCAGTGATTGACATCATGATCATCCGGAAACGCGATTGGGATAGGATGACTTTCATGAACAAAGTCAGGGAGCTGTTTGTCACTCCTTACGACAAGCATTGGTTGCTGAAGACCAGTTCTAACCCGGATCTCCACGGGTTCAAAACACTGTCTGATGTTATGTACCGTATTCTATCGTGTATAATACGCAGGACGAGTGATTTATGTCTTTACTTTGAATGGGGAAAGTCTCCTTGTGGCTTTTGTCCATCAAAAGCCGCTCCTGATCCTGAACACAATCGTGCTATACAGAATACGGATGTACATGTGCAGGATGTAACGTTACGAACATGTGTAACCCGTCCCTGTTGTCTGTGGGACACGTGTTATGTGAAGGTCGTAGTGGTTGTAAATTTGTCTTAATTCCAAAGCCAAAGCAAACCAATTTCCAGTTATCGCATACCTAGTCGCGTATGCATAAAACCCATAGGCTGATCACGACCTCTATCTCTGAGTGGCAGGTTAGACTGACTTTTTACTCAATTGTACTTACTTTCTCCCGGCATAAAGTCCCTGAAGTGTAGACAGAGTTTAAAATTGAGATTTTTCTCCAGTTTAGGATACAGCGTGTGGACAACAAAATCCTCATCCAGTTTTGTTGACTTATAGGACACGAATGCATCAAAGAGTTTATCATCTGGAATTTAAAGTGATGTATTTTTTATTAAAGTTGAACGGAACAGGGGGAAGATAACAGAAATTGAATAGTTACTCATTTAATAATACACAGCAAACACTATTGTGTAACATTTCTGGTTTAATCAAATAAACAAAATATATATAAATCACCACATCACCATCATAATCATTATCAACATCACCACCACCACCACCACCACTACCATAAATCACCATCGTCATCATCATCATCGTCATCGTCATCGCCATCGTCATCGTCATCGTCATCGTCATCATCGTCATCATCATCGTTATCGTCACCGTCATCATCATCATCGTCATCGTCATCATCGTCACCGTCATCGTCATCATCGTCATCGTCATCGTCATCGTCACCGTCATCGTCGTCGTCATATAAGTTAATTACTGATTGAAGCGGGATTAAACTTAACTCACGCACTATATATTAGTGCCCATATGGGTATTATGTTTGTTAAATTGAAAGTAACGCACAAAGCATGTACGTTGCACAGCTTGAACCACCACCTGGAGTTGTGCACCTTACATTAGATGTACATACGAGGGTCGATTGATAAGTTCCAAGCCTGACATAGAAGGAATTTCATAAGAGTGAAACCTTTTGACAGCACATGAGGGCATAATGGTATATCCACAACATCTGAGCAAATTGTTTCGCTGTGACATGTTAGTAAAATAAGCAAAGGTTTGTAACCTTTAGGAAATGGAAACTTGAGGAACAGCTTGGAACGTACCAATCAACCACCGTTCAAACCTGAACATGTATCTAACAACAAAACTCAAAGGGTTTTATCAATCATGCGCCTGTTTTGTGTACCTTTTCTAGTGTCAGTAGCAAGACTATGAATACGACAAAGACATGGACGTTTTTTCTGTTATAAAAAAATGGCAACGCCTATAGTATGCGACTCCAATGTTACCTTCTTTACGATTTGTAAGGATTCATTCTTTATTTTACTAAAATGTTTGTGCCGCTTTGGTATAGAATATGTCGCTTTCAAATTCAAATTCATATTTTATTTCCGTGAAGTAAACCCCATGAAAGTAGTTTATCTAATCACATCTTTTACATCAAGTTCGAAAATGAAAAAGCCACATACCTGTTTAAGGAAATAAATAACGAGATTATCGTTCAACGTTAAATGTCGTTTACAGTCGAGGGGCCTATAATTCCCACACAACCATCTCTGCACGTTAAGAATGTAGGCTGAGATGGTGCAATTTACGGCAGTACGTATAATAGTTTATTGTAATGCGTCGAATGTAACCGCAAAGCCCGTTTAAGCCACACATCCACAAACATCACGCTGTGTTATTTCAAGGTGACACAGTTTATGATGCGTTTATTGTTAACCATATCAGTAGTCGGAATAAATCTGTCACAACATTGCACACCCAGGCACGGAAGGGCTTACCGACAAGCATATCTGCGTGCACTGGGCATGATGAAAATGAGTTTGATGGTGACAGGACGTCCTGGAAGTATCGTCATTAGGAGCGCCAGGCACTGACCAATCGGGTTGTTTCGAGAAAAAAAGGATCTGGTACTATAGCGATATAAAACGCGAAGATACAGACTGGTTGTGTGGTAGTTGAGGGAGATACGTATATTTGTTCATTTTTAGTTGGTTAGTTGTTTATGTTTAAAAAAAAAATTAGATCATATATTCAAATTGTTCGGCTTTGGGGGTTGGGGGTTTGGAATATTTTCTATTTTGCTCCAACATGTTTGAACCATATTTACTAATCATTGCAGTTGTAACTGAAGTTATTATGTATAATATTTAAAATATAAATTATATTTAACTATACTCTATTTATCACATAATTAGGACCGGGCAAATTAATATCTATATGAAAAAGAAAACCTATATACAGTTCATGTGACTCGCAATCTTGTCAGTTGTCCTTGCAGAACGCAGTCGACGCTTGTCAGATTTGGATACTGCTAAGTTTTGGCAATGAAATTTAGTACATAAAAACTCACCATCCTCTTCAAAGGGTTGAAACATGTAGACTATCTTCATGATGAAGATGTACCTCCTCTTCCACAGGATGTAGGGCAGGATGACCAGGAGGATGAGAAGAATGACCAGTAGAGCCACACAGCTACCCACAACCCACCAGTACCACGACGGCGCCTGCACCTCTACAACGTGAACACAGCACGTAGAGTTAGACAGAGAGAATATCAGACTGATTTTAAAAAGACGTGAGCCTGTATATAATACACTTAATATACGAATAAAGTTTAGTTTTGATCGGGGTTGTTCCTACGACCTAACATGTCCCTCAACAGGGAGTTTGCCTACATATACACGTAATACACATATGCGAATAAAGGCCAGTGGCGCTGATGATCGTAACTCCCATACCTTAACATAGGCTTACGACAGTCGTAGCGCTACGATCGCTTTGTGGAACGGGGCCCGGACTGTTACTACATCTCACAAGGGCGTGGGCGTGGGCGTGGGCGTGGGCGTGGGCGTTGGCGTGGGCGTGGGCGTGGAGATGTGGGGGTAGATGTGGGCATGGTGACCATTTGTTATGTTTATACTGCACATATATTAGTGCATAAAATTGAAAAACGTCAGGACATCCTTGACCCCTGACCCTCTATGAGACAGTGTTAAGATAAACAGGCAACACGATTGGTTGTGTTACCACGTGTCTTGTCTAGTATGTACGTGTAGTGTAAGAATCTTGAGACGCAGTTACGCCTGATTCCACACGGGTTTACACAGAAAGCCCAAAGTGAAAACGACGTCACAGCTCGTCCACTGTACAATGCAGTGAAGGTCTGAATGTTCCAGTGACTGATGCGTTAATGTGTGGAGACGAAGTCTTCCTCTTGACATCACGTGACAAATGAGTGATGAGGCACTTTGGACAGAGACATGTCGACACAAGTAGACATCTAAGGGTGTAGGTCAGGAGGTCCAACAGCTGGTAGTGTAAGGTTGTGTATGGCTTGTTCTGAAATCGCTAGACTTCACACGACATTTACAAAAGAGTATGGTTTACGCCTCTTTGAACAGAATTCCAGCTTTAGCCCTGCGTGTCAGCTTCATGTGTGAGGAAAGCCCGAAGTCCCAGACGTTAACCACTTTGGTGAAAACACGTATAGTGGTGACAAAAGCTGACAAACATAATCAGGGCGGGTCTAGGATTCTGGGGACGCAAGGGACGCACTCTGCAAAGTGAGTGAGTGAGTGAGTGAGTTGGGTTTTAACGCCGCTTTTAACATCATTCCAGTTACATCACGGCGTGTCAGCTTAATGTGAGAGGAATGCCCGAAGTGATGCAGGTCTCAGACGTTTACCACTTCGGTGAAACCCACGAGCACGCGTCTCTGCACAGCGAATGGCAACTACTTAGACGACTAGGTCACCCGCATCCCTCTTTAACATAATGGACGCATCAGACAGAGTGCAAAATGATGTGTGAAGACCTTTATTCCTGGCGTACTCGTTTACACAGAAATGCAGATCTGAACATACCTGACGTTGAGTACATATTACCGATAGGAACTAAGCTGATGTAACAACATCCTGACAAACATATTGACAGATAAAATAGATTCCTTGTTATTCGTAGTCCCTCCAACCAAACACGCCAAACATGATTGGTGATTATAATCCATACATTCATGGATGAAAGCATAAATGAAAACACATAAATTTGTATATCTTTTATTAAGAAAGTTAAAAGACATTATAGCACTATAGTCGTAATATTGTTTAACCGAGACTGTAAATATCAAAATAACGCATGTAGTTTTGATTTAATGGTTTCTAAATGATTAAATGCATATATCACTTAGACTATCACATGTTCAAAGGCAAAAGAGTAACTGTTCCCCTGAAATTGAGCGTTCCACAATTCGATCTGTTTCGTAGATCCGATACATTACAAGAGACTATAAACAGTGAGTGAGTGGGTGAGTGAGTTGAACATTATTTCAGTTATATCACGTCGTGTCAGCTTCATGTAGGAGGAAAGCCCCAAATGATGCAAACGAGCACGGTTGTGGTGCTGATAAACCTGGCAACATAATCAGGGCGATTCAGGGATTCGAACACAGATTTTGGGTTTCCGGCACACGATTCTCTGCACAGCAAACCGTTGCTCCTTGGATGGTACGATATGGTCACATGCAAGAAATGATACAACAGTTTTCAAGATTGCCTGTGTGAATAAAGTTAAAACCACATGTGATTAAAACTAACGTCATTAATTAAATGGTTATTTAAGATATCCCCCTAACAACAATTTTGCTCTGTATTTATGAATTAGAAATTACGATCGCGAATCACAACATGTTTATCTATATGAAAGCCTCGAGACAGATCATATAGAAACGTCCAAAACACCAGTTTACCTGGTTGTGGTTTTGGTCGTAGAGTTGCACACGTCGGACCCATGTATTCCGGGGCGCAGCTGCAGTACAAGGTGCCATTCTTGAAGATATCACAACGTCCGTATGTCCCACAATCAAGTGGACACGGTTCGTGACAGAATACTCCAATCCATCCACGTTCACAGATGCACTTCAGAGCAAACCCAACAATCGTGGTCCTGTTTGTGGCTTCTTTATAGCAAGTGCCGTGTTTGCAGACAAAGGCAGAAGATCCCGGGACGCACTGACGCGCCGATAAAGGAGGGAGAATTGTTGTTGAAAGTCCTGTGGGCATAACTAAAGGTGTTGATGGACGTACCGTCTGGGGTTGTGTTGATCCTGAAATACGAACAAATGACTTATTATAGATATGTACCCGTCGACCATGCTTGTCGTAAGAGGCGACTAGCGGGATATGGTGGTAGGCTAGCTGTCTTGGCAATCGTATCCCAATTGCTTAGATCGATGCTCATGATGTCAATCACTGGATGGTCTGATCCAGACTCGATTATTTACAGACCGCCGTTATACAGCAGGAATACAGATGAGTGCGACTTTAAACAACAAACAAACATAACACGTACGGCATGCACATATATCAAATGATATCTTGAATGATTGAAATGATATCCTGAAGATATCCGCTAAAAACGGGCATCAGGTGATCACAGTAGTGTCTTGTCGATCTAGGATTATCGCTGCCCAAAGGTTTTCTCATTGCCCATTATCTAAATTACATGTCACTGTCAGATACTGCAATGTTAACGTCACTTAAGACAGCATTTAATCACTAGTTTCGGTAGCTTTGAAAGCATTCAAAAAATGGTTGTTGGTTAGCAATTTTGTTAAACCGTTCACTTGGCACGCCACAAAACTGAGTTCCAGTCTTTTCATTTATATTGTGTAAGTATGATTTACCTCACTGGAACGGAATAAAACGGCATAAAACCAAACAACCTCGCTGGTCTTATTCCTACCCAATCAAGCATACCTAAAGGCAATGTTGATTGGGGTATAACAACACTGATGATATCCTTGCATCGGTCTCCAGTATATCCAAAGCTGCATTCACATATTTGACCAGCCGGGGTGGCTCTACATTGTCCGCGTGTTCCACAGTCCAGGTTACAGGGTGTCTGGCAGAATATCCCCACCCATCCCTCGTCACAGAAACACTTTAGCTGTCCTGGCTTGCAGTAACCATTTTGACAGGTAAACCCTACGAGACACCGACGCTGGGATAGTGGACGAAGCGTGGATGTTACCGTGGTGGTAGAGAGGAAGGATGGTGTAGAGGTTGCAGACGTTGAAGAGACGGCTGCTGATGGGAGGGAGCTTGTTTCTTGGGTAATCGGGTTTGAGTATTGGGATGACTTGGGATTGTTGTCATACCTGATATCTGTACAATGTGAATATGAATCCTGATATGACACCTTACATATGCTTATTTTCAAATACTTTTGGATTTTTTAATTATTAATTTTAGGCCTCAAATTTTATTATTTAAACATGTTTTTGACTGGTATATTTATAGGCAAATATCAAATATTACATTATTTGACCAAAACAAGAAGGAAGATTCCATTTACATAAATATACATTGAGTAAGTGAGTGAGTGAGTCAGTCAGTGAGAAGTATTTCAGCCATATTGTGAATAGCAAAAATGCATGTAACATGTAACATGTAAACGTGTGTTGTGTCAGGTTACTGCCGACAGGTGATGCGTGTTGTGCCTCGTTGCATAGCTCTTGACACGTTTCAAAATGCACGTGGCAACAGTGCATTACCTTCATGTACACAAACACGCGGATTTATTAACATAAATCTATATTTGGATTAAGGTCTTATTCAGTCAATTACATTGTATATCTTTTTTATTTGTATTCCTATTTAATACGTTAGCTTCTTTCACCAGTGTCCCTTTTTAGCCTAGTCCCTGTTGATAAAACAACTGGTAGTAAAGACTTCGTTAAGTAATTATGTACAGGATTGGTATACAAGGTATAAATGTACCAACCTGACCCAGGTGTCGAAGTTAGCTTCTCGCCACACCGCTGACCCGTGTATCCCCACTCACAGATACACACCAACTGACTCCCAATAACACTACAGATGCCCTTCTCCCCACAATCCAATGAGCACGGGGTCCCACAGAAAGTCCCAGACCAGCCTTTGTCACAAACACACGTCAGCTGACCAGCCGGACAGTGTCCATTCCTACAGGGGAATCCTGCAACACAGTTGCTGGCTACCGTGGTGGTGGGTTGGGCGACATCTGCAGAAATGAAACAACATGCAGGTTAATGTTCGGCTTCTATCAGAATAGAAGGTAGTTGCCTCCTCCCCCATCCTTCTCCTTCTCAAATATAAGTATTAAAAAATATAAAAAATATGGCCTAAGAAGAAATTGTTTTGTGATGAAAGTTCAGGAACACCCAGGTTTCTTTCAAATACATCATACATGTATGCATTTATAATTTGAGAAGCAGTCATGACAAGTCAGCAGTTGGTCTGCAATCTATCGCTCTATCCACGTACATAAACATAGCACAATTATGTTGAATAGCAAGTCAACCAACCAGTGGATAATATTAGTCATGTCCTATATCGGATATCAACATATATCCACGCATCGAATACTAGTGCTCAATAACACCCGCAATTCTGAAAACACATTGTTTACCTACATCGTTAATACAAATTGTTACCTTTTTCTTCATGTACTAAACAGCACCACGCCAATAACAACTGAATCCGCCTGGTTAGTAGAATGTAGAGAAAAGTCAACCACATCGAAGTTTTTCTGATATATATTAAACTTAAAAGTAGTGTATAATGGATGCGGTATCCTCATCGCCATGTCAACTTCGACATGGTCCTCATCAACGTCTACACGTTCCATTCATTTCACAATATTCAGATAATACATTAAACTTGAAATGGACTGGGCACATGTCATATACCGAAAAAAACCAAAGGTACATTATATACATACATGTATACTAATTAAATACTAATACTAACATTAAATGAAAAATACATTTTGAAATTGTTACTATTATCTAAATCCGTCCATACATATTGTATAACCTAAGACGTATTTACAATAAAATACACAATACTAAGATGGGTCGACATGACATTAATTTTAAAGCAACATAATAGAAAACACATTCGAAATAATTTTGTTTTAACCCATTATCATATTTGGACGTCATCTTGAAATCACGAAGATATGGAACAATGCAAAAACAATCCCTTGGCGCCGAAAGGTTTCAAACAATTGTCAGATTACAAGACACTCTACACATGAACGTCACATGATGACCCAGAGATCAACAATATAACCACATAGCCTTAGGCTTTCCCGTTCCGCTGACGTTAGTTTGAATATACCATCAGTCAGTGAAGCATGCAGGTAACATCGTTATGGTAAGGAGGTTAGACCATTAAATGGCATACCTTTACGGCTGACCTTGCACGGAAGGTCATATCATACAATAATTTACACCTGATGAAATGCACGGAAGGCCATATCATACAATAATTTACACCTGATGAAAATGCACTGAAGGTCATATCATACAATAATTTACACCTGATGAAATGCATGGAAGGTCATATCATACAATAATTTACACCTGATGAAATGCACTGAAGGTCATATCATACAATAATTTACACCTGATGAAATGCATGGAAGGTCATATCATACAATAATTTACACCTGATGAAATGCATGGAAGGCCATATCATACAATAATTTACACCTGATGAAATGCACTGAAGGTCATATCATACAATAATTTACAACTGATAAAATGCACTGAAGGCCATATCATACAATAATTTACACCTGATGAAATGCACTGAAGGTCATATCATACAATAATTTACACCTGATGAAATGCATGGAAGGCCATATCATACAATAATTTACACCTGATGAAATGCACGGAAGGCCATATCATACAATAATTTACACCTGATGAAATGCACTGAAGGTCATACCATACAATAATTTACACCCGGTGAAATGCACTGAAGGTCATATCATACAATAATTTACAACTGATGAAATGCACTGAAGGTCATATCATACAATAATTTACACCTGATGAAATGCACTGAAGGTCATATCATACAATAATTTACACCTGATGAAATGCACTGAAGGTCATATCATACAATAATTTACACCTGATGAAATGCACGGAAGGCCACATCATACAATAATTTACACCTGATGAAAATGCACTGAAGGTCATATCATACAATAATTTACACCTGATGAAATGCACGGAAGGTCATATCATACAATAATTTACACCTGATGAAATGCACTGAAGGTCATATCATACAATAATTTACACCTGATGAAATGCACTGAAGGTCATATCATACAATAATTTACACCTGATGAAATGCACTGAAGGTCATATCATACAATAATTTACACCTGATGAAATGCACTGAAGGTCATATCATACAATAATTTCCGTACATCTCTGACACCTGATGAAAATATCAACAAGCGCTATGGTGAACAGCTTGAGAATATCACTTCGGCTGAAGATCAAACGGGTACATGTTTACAATCTAACGTCATTTTGGTAGTATTGCTTCGGGGGGGATTCCTTATAACAAGCAAACGTTTGCAAAGCAGGAGAGGAACACCGGATGAGCATATCCTGGCGAACCGTCTGTCAACCATCACTATACAATTGACCTTATGCAATGAATAAACTCAGCATTGTCATCTCTTTTTTTGGTGGGGTGTTAAGAAATATAAAAGGAGATATAATTAATGATAAATGTTCAGAAGTTATGGTGTAACTATGCAGACTATGTATGTATCAAAGGGAATCGTGAAGATCCGGGGTAGAATATCTTCAGCAACCCATGCTTGCCGTAAAAGACGACTTTGCTTGTCGTAAGAGGTGACTAACAGAATCGGATGGTCAGTCTCGCTGACTTAGTTGAAGCATGTCAACGATCCCAATTGCGTGGATCGATGCTCATGATGTCAATCACTGGTTTGTCTGGCCTAGACTCGATTATTTACAGACCGCCGCCAGAAAGCTGGAATATTGCTGAAAGCGGCGTTAAACAACAAACCATCCCAAACCAAAAAAATATATCAAAGGTGCTGACGTCATAGACAAAGGTGTGTATTTCCTCAAGTAAACGTTATTCAATTCACACAGCACACAAGACATTCGTCAACGCCAGAGCATAGACATTAATGGGCAACCAAAAAAATAAGCTTGGAAATTACCGTGTATTTTCTCGGTTTAAATGGTGGTAAAGGTTAAAGACTACGTTTGATATACACTCCCTGTAAACAGAAACCACTTCGTCACTGCTGATGTGCGCTATTTCTCATACGACGTTGGTGTTAGTTCAGTTCGGGAATAAATATACAAATTAGTGTCACGTAACAGTGTCACATAAAATTAAATTGAATACATGATTCCTACTAATTACTAAACATTTATGGCTATACATGTTTCGAGAAATGCTTTCAACTCTTTGACATGACGAGTGAGTGAGTGACTATGGTTTTACGCCGCTTTTAGCAATTTTCCAGCAATATCACGGCGGGGGTCACCAGAAATGGGCTTCACACATTGTACCCATGTCGGGAATCGAACCCGCGTCTTCGGCGTGAAGAGCGAACGCTTTAACAACTAGGCTACCCGACCGCCGCTGACAGGATGAGTGAATTTTCTTCGTGGACGACACCACACACATTAATTGATTTTATTTAGAATTGATCACATTTTATTAATATGGTGAACAATGACGTCGACACACGCCATCAGGGTACGATAACACTCAGCCAAATAAGCCGCCAAGCTTGACCATTAACTCGCCTCTTACGGCCAGCCACCCGTGAAGATCCGGGGTAGAATAGGTCTTCAGCAACCCATGCTTGACGTAAAAGGCGACTGTTCTTGTCGTATAAGGCGACTAACCGGATCGGGTGGTCAGGCTCGCTGACTTAGTTGAAGCATGTCATCGATCCCAATTGCGTGGATCGATGCTCATGATATTAATCACAGGATTGTCAGGTCCAGACTCGATTATTTACAGAGCGCCGTCATACAGGAATATTGCTGAGTGCGGCGTTAAACAACAAACCAACCAACTAACCAATCTTACTGTCAGCATAGGTTGCTAATGGTCAATAAATATTCTAACCCAGAATCAACAAGTATCACAATGGGGTAAGCTGAATCCGTCACGTGTGGTGTGTTGCTTATATGTACGGTGTATTACGGTTATGTACGGTGTGTTAAGGCTATGTACACTATGTTACCCTCCAGTCATGATATACATGTAGCATGTGGCGATTAATGCAGTATTGCAATGAACGTATCCATTAAGTCGCATCTTACGACCAGCTTTGGTTGGTGGGGATCTATTCTTACCAAGAATCTCCACTGGACTGTGAAAGCTGAAAGAAGTGCATATGTAATAAATTACCTGGATGTTTTGTTGGGTTTAACTCTCGGCGCTTTTTACATCGTGGACCAGTGTAGTCAAAGTTGCAGCTGCAAAGTGTTGTACCGTTGACAAAGACGTCACAAACTCCATTCGAGCCGCAATCTAACCCACAGGGTGTTTGACAAAATATCCCAGACCATCCAAGATCGCAGTCACAACTGCTTTTTGTTGCCGAACAAATGCCGTGAACACATACGAAGCCGTGAAAACATTGGCGTTGAGACATAGGCCTCAATGTCGTAGTCGCCAACGTTGATGACAAATCTGTCAAATCATCATCACTGTCGGTCGTATTCTTGTTTGCTGAAACCAACGCCAGAACCAACACGCACAGACTCACCAGCACATAAACAAGTTTAAAGTGTGTTGACATTCTGTTAACTGTCCCTGTTTGAAACTGCTGGATCTAGTTGGAAACGCTGAATTATACTGTCAGCCATGTTGGACTATCAACGTTTAATTCCGCCAGGAAACTATAAAATCAAACCACTCATGTCTAGCGGTACAACCAGGCTGAGCAGTCATGGACACAATCAAACCGTCACGCTTTGTAATCAGTCTCAAACATCCGCAAGTTCCACAGCAACTAACACATGCAGATTTGCATGTGTGTGACAGTTTGAGAAATGGCCTGTGTATTTGTTCCCGTGTTCATTGCCTGAGGTACTTCGTACGAAATAAGGCTTAGTCCTCGCTCCAGTGCTGCAATCGATATAAAGTTATTGCCTGGTAACGCCAGAGGCACGCCGCGTGGGGATGAGGGTTACCCTGTAAATGAATTCAAATAAAAAGTTTATGCCAGATCATCAGAGATACTGTCAGCAAACACAGGCCCCCATAGTGAGACGTCGAACCGACCTATTTTTGCACATCATGACAAAGTCTCGTAAAGGACACCCTCTGGTGACACTGTTGATGCCTATCAGTTTGATGTACATGAAACTGAACTTAATTACAAACGACTTGGTATTCGTACGTTGCTGTATATCATAGGGCCACGTTATACCGATTGGGTATGATAAATATGTAACGGGAAATGGAACTTTAATTGCTTGAGAGAACGAGTGACAGAACATGTACAAAGGGAATAGTGTGTTACGATTTTAATCAATCATTCCTCCTAACATCCAATCTGTGTTTGTGTTAAATCACGTCATGCATCGCCGGTTTCAACGATAATGTTGTCGAGGTATGGTGAAAAGCTTTGTCGGAGTGCTTCGTAACGAGTGCCCTTTATGTGATAAACAGAATAATAATCACGATGAGTGATTAGACTTGGTGCTTGGAACAGGTGAGGTGAAATGGGGTTTAACGTCGCGTCCAAGATTATTGAACTTATATAGCGACGTGCATGCACGTGTATGTGTGTGTGTATGTGTGTGGCTGTTTGTTCTAGTCCGGACTGATGCCGATTTATAGTGCTAGCTCACTGAGATACCATGCCGCAGTTCAACATGAATACTCCACTTAGACACAGTATACTGACTCCGAGCCGACCAGTCCTTGTTTTAGCCCCTTAATGCCGAGCGCCAGACAGGGTAACAACAAGTACCATATTTTAACGTCTTTTGGTATGATGCGGCTGGGGATCGAAACCCGGACCTTCCGCTCTCCGGGCGGACGCGTGCTTTGAACAGAACATGTGTGACAAATAATACATTTAAGATCGGTGTATCGTGTCACATAACACCCTAAGAAATAGTTCTGGAGTGTAACATACCTTGAGTCTTGTAAGGTGAACAATTGACTTTCCTTTGTTTATGACCCGTGCCACCGGTTGGGCAGGATACGCTCACCTTTTCGCGGACACCTGGTACCATCACTATTTGATCTGCTTTTAGAACAGATTAATTTTGTATATGGAAAGGTTTGTATCGCTTATATTGGCACTACCGTAACACACTATACGCTACCGTAACACACTATACATTACCGTAACACACTATACATAACTGTAGCACAGTATACATTACCGTAACACACTATACATTACCATAACACACTATACATAACCGTAACACACTATACGTTACCGCAACATAGCATACATTACCGTATCACATTATACATTATCGTAACACAGTATGCATTACCGTAACACACTATACATTACCGTAACACACTATCCATTACCATAAGACACTATACATAACCGTAACGCACTATACGTTACCGTAACATAGCATACATAACCGTATCACATTATACATTACCGTAACATACTATGCATTACCGTAGCACACTATACAATACCGTAACACACCATACGTTACCGTAACACACTATACATTACCGTAACATGCTACGTATTACCGTAACACGCTATATATTACCGTAACACACTATACATTACCGTAACACAGTATGCATTACCGTAACACACTATACATTACCGTAACACAGTATGCATTACCGTAACACACTATACATTACCGTAACAGACCATACGCTACCGTCGCACAACATACATTTACGTAACACACCATACATATCCGTAATATATTATACATTACCGTAACACACTATACATTACTGTAACACGCCATACGTTACAATAACATACTATATGTTACCCTTCCACACCATGCATTACCGCTACCGCCATACATAGCCATAACACACAGTGACTATACATCACTGTAACACACTATACATAACCGTAACACACCATACATAACCGTAACACACTATACATTACCGTAACACGCCAAACGTTACCATTATACACTAAAACGCCATACATTACGGTAACACACATTACCATAGCATACTATGCATTAACGTAACACACTATATATTACCGTAGCACCATACGTTACCGTAACACGCTACGTATTACCGTAACACGCTATATATTACCGAAACACACCATACATAAGCGTAACACACTATACATTACCGTAACACACCATACATAGCCGTAATACACCAAACGTTACCGCAGCACACTATTCATTACCGTAACACACTATACATAGCCGTAACACGCTTTTCATTACCGCAACACACTTTACATTACCGTCACACACTATAACATTTATCGTCACACATAAGTTGACCGATAAAGTTTAGTGCACTGTGACTTTAGAAACCATGTTGTCTAACAGGAAGTCAAACTGTCAGACTGTGCCGTAAGTGCATTGAGTAAAGAGAGTGTCCTGTCTTTTCAGGATCATGTAGGTTGTCATGCAGGATGTGATGAAAACACAACCACGCGTGTAAGCCTTAAGACACTGTGACATCGTTTATCACATAATTGATTGTTGTTGCGATAGATTAATAATCCGATTATAAATATGCTAATGAGGTCACCGAGATGGAAATAATTTTATTATGGTCTATCAATCGATGCAATGTTTACTTGCTAAGAAGACTGTACGTGTTGCCTAATATTCTCAATACTTTAGATTAGCGTTTCCCTGATCTTATATTCCCTTATTCTAACGTTTCTTCGGTGACTGAAATTAAAAAAACAACATTTCGTCGCCTCTTACGACGAAAATTGGGGATGATGGGGTCACATTGTGCCCAACGTCCCCAAGCAAAATGCTATCATATATTAGGAATAAAAGCCTAATTTTTGTAATTTAAATACATTATATTTACGATACGGATAAATACGTGAGTAATGATCCGGTTTATTTTTTTAGTTACCAATGCTTTTGTAATTCAAACGTCTCTTACAACAGTGCGCGCTCTTGGGAAACGCCTCACTGAATAACAGTTCTCTCTGTCAACCACGACTTTCCGGAATAAATCAATAGATTTGTGTTTATATTACTTCCTTGTCAAGTAGAGGGTCTACATCGTACGGGGTATGAGCGGTCGTCATTGTAAGTATTGCTTGTATATATCTTCTAAAAACGTATTTTCCCGAAAAATAGCAGAGTTATAATATGATTGAAACTACAGTTTTCAAACATTCGCAAGACATGACACGTTTATTTCAATAATCGGTGTATAGACTGAATGAGTACAATGGCTTCTTGGTGAATAGTGACAACAGTTATGTTTTCAATACTGGTGTGGCGCATGTTCGTCTTCTTACCGTCGACATCACATCCTCCACCATCACACTGGTATCATTGTACATGTATTTATCACATGAAACATAATCGTCAATGTTAAATAGCAAACTAATAAAGTATTAATATAAAATGGTTTAGATCACGTTTTTCAGACGATCGCCAGTAAAATAAGTTTCACTTGCATGGCATATTGGGGTATTTAGGCTTATGTTGCATTTATAACTCGCTTATGATATGTGCCATATGGCTGTTAATAAGTTAATAGCATGGTTTCACCATATTTTTATTTTGAGGCGATTGCACGTTTGTCACAGTACTGACATTACATAAGATCCCGAAGTCACAGAAATGTATTCGCGTTTTACACAGGATATATACTCTAAAGTGTTACTAAAATGCAGAAGACTAATGGATCCACAATGTCACAGTTGATCAACTTAACCATGAAGGGTCTATCAAGCATATGTAGCAATGCGTGTGAAGGTTTCCTACCACAACGCATACCTCAAGAAAGGCAGCCCAAGAAGTGAAGTTGATTATTTAACAGATGCTTGTCACCCCTAATTATAGACTTTGGATTGGATGAGCTTAGCCAGATCATGACTTCTATCTTCTACTCAACCTTTAGAGAAATGAGTAGCGACTAATCTTGTAGTATATTAAAATTACAATTTGTATAAACAACATTGTTAAGCCCTGAAAGAAACTGTGTTTTTTAAAATATTCTTATCAAAATATAATTTAAGATTAACACATGAATTTGTTATATATGTGTTTTGATAAAGTTAACTCTATCATTAAGTGAATAAACTGTAATACAACCTCAAAAATATGTGATCTTAAGAAACAAACACATATCAAGTAGTGTTATCCGCAGATAAAGAGTCTCTGAATCACATCAGTTTGCACAGGATGTGTGGCTATGGCATGCACTATTGCATCTCAAACCCGATTTCAAACAGGAACACCTGTTTGTCAAGCAGTTGCTTCGGCATTGGCACCTGCGGTAACACTGTCCTCTCACGATTTCACGAACAGATAATGTTGTTTCAAGGACATCTGCGGTTTTCGGTCCAGAATATCTCACAAACTCAAATTGATATCTTGCTAGTCGCCAACTTATTGTTTCCCTATGAGTTCCTATTCTGTGCATGGCATTGTCTATGTCCATGACTACGCCAATTACATTTGGCGGGTCACCCTCGCTCCTGTCAAACGCGAGACGGGAACTGCAACATTGTCCCCGTACGGCACGCAGTGAGCTGTTGCTCCGGCCTGTCAATCATCCGAGTAGCTTGTTTACCGATTCCATCCTGGGCTGTCTTCCTGGCACGCTTTGCATGGTGTAAAGCATCTACATCAAAGTCAACAGCATTTGCTACATCGGACGCATCAACCATTGTAGTATCAACATCAATAACAGTGGCATCAGCAGTATCTCGCATAATCTCAACAGGCGCGACATATGTAGCATTAGCATCAGCAGATACAACAACGGTGGCGTCAACAACATCTGGGATGACCTCATCAGGTGTGTCAACATCGGGCACGACATCTTTAGCATTAACATCAGCAGATACAACAAGGGTGGCGTCAACAACATCTGGGATGACCTCATCAGGTGTGTCAACATCGGGCACGACATCTTTAGCATTAACATCAGCAGATACAACAACGGTGGCGTCAACAACATCTGGCATGACCTCAACAGGAGCGTCAACATCAGGTACGACATCTTTAGCATTAACATCAGCAGATACAACAACGGTGGCGTCAACAACATCTGGGATGACCTCAACAGGAGCGTCAACATCAGGTACGACATCTTTAGCATTAACATCAGCAGATACAACAACGGTGGCGTCAACAACATCTGGCATGACCTCAACAGGAGCGTCAACATCAGGCACGACATCTTTACCATTAACATCAGCAGATACAACAACGGTGGCGTCAACAACATCTGGGATGACCTCATCAGGTGTGTCAACATCGGGCACGACATCTTTAGCATTAACATCAGCAGATACAACAACGGTGGCGTCAACAACATCTGGCATGACCTCAACAGGAGCGTCAACATCAGGCACGACATATGTAGCATTAACATCAGCAGATACAACAACGGTGGCGTCAACAACATCTGGCATGACCTCAACAGGAGCGTCAACATCAGGCACGACATATGTAGCATTAACATCAGCAGATACAACAACGGTGGCGTCAACAACATCTGGCATGACCTCAACAGGAGCGTCAACATCAGGCACGACATATGTAGCATTAACATCAGCAGATACAACAACGGTGGCGTCAACAACATCTGGCATGACCTCAACAGGAGCGTCAACATCAGGCACGACATATGTAGCATTAACATCAGCAGATACAACAACGGTGGCGTCAACAACATCTGGGATGACCTCATCAGGAGTGTCAACATCGGGCACGACATCTATAGCATTAACATCAGCAGATACAACAACGACAACATTTGGCATGACCTTAACAGGAGCGTCAACATCGGGCACGACATTTATAGCATTAACATCAGCAGATACAACAAGGGTGGCGTCAACAAAATCTGGCATCTGGCAAAGGTCGAATAACATGAAACTTGGTGAGATATTCTTGTTAATGTAGAATGAATCGGTAGACGCCATCCTTGTTGGTTTGCATGTCAACTTAGTCGACTTGACCTCTCTCGTTCAAGCCCCAGGCAGATTGAGGTTTTACAACCACACCTGAATTATTGCCTTTAAATATTAGCTTCTGTCGTGATGCGGCCGTCAGTTAAATCAGTTTCCGAAGTGGTTATTGTGATCTGAAACCTCTGATCAAAATCATGTAGTCCCCGGATTCATGCTCGAATAGTCCCTTATGCTGACAATACGCACTCTCATAATGGGCACGACTGAATGTTACTTCCTCCTACCAAGCACTGCTCGTGAGCACTCTCCTGTATTTAAATAAATTTACATTAGGATTACACTATTGTCAATGAGAGAAAGCTGATTGCACGTTAGGTATGGAACACGTTCTTCCATGTAAGCATTGCTTGTATAGATCTCACGTGTTTACTTCGATAGCAACTTATAATGCAAGTCTTTCTCGAGACAATATAAAACGTCAAAGCCACATAAGTGTGTGTTAATGAATAAGTATCCAACTGGCTCGGTTTAGGGAATTTGGGATTATAAGGAAATAGTATCCATTGCAAATAATAATGTTTAACCATGTGCAGACAAAACTTTCCCGTATGTTGTAATGACACCGAACACTAGGTTAAAGGATCGTTACAAAAACAGCCAGGAAAATACGACCCAATCTCAGTGCCTTCTTTGATGTTATATCAACCATGATTGAATCAATATGGTATTATAGGGTACAGTCATCGTTTGTTGTGATCATAGTTTCATGATAATAGCCTTAATTCATATCGTTCAGCCAGCGCGAACGTTTATGTCCCCTGAGGTTTTTACGTTGGTTAACCGGTTGCAGCTTTAAAGCGGTACAGCTCGCATATCTTCTGTAACTCACACGAATTCGGTTTAATGTTTGGTGTAATTTGGCGTACAACAAGCTAATTGTCATTGAGAAAACTTATACAAAATCGGTTTTAGTACCGTCCCTAACCATCCAAACGTCCTCTTTTTCTATTGTTTTTACACCAAACCAGATACAAATACAACCTATACAATACTAATACTTTCAGGCTTATATGTTACAACCAATTCATGGAAGAATAATGTATGACATGTTCTTTAGTTGGTAAAGTTCATTGTAAATTTATAACGGTAACCTTCCATTTGTAGGACAGACAGTTATCAGAGAGCTCAAAACAACAAATTGCTGATTGAGTGCACAGCACAATAACTACCTGTTACCTCCAATTGGTAAAAAGCATGCATGCAAATTGTTTGTAACTGTTTCAGTTTCGTTTATTTTTCCACTGGAATTCCAGAAAATGCATGTGTTTGACGGTATTGACGCTCAGTTTGAGTAAACGTAATTAGAGAACATAGCTAGGTATGAAATAATTTTTGTAGTGTACTAATATGTATCTGACATGGAAAAGCAAGCACCACATGACAAAAACAATTAGAACAATCTTTTGTGTTAAAAATATGAATAAATATAAAATGTTTCTTTGAATCCTCTTATCTGTTTACCAGAGTTTATATTGTTAAAAAAACCATATGTCCATATCATCCGTGGCACCCCAAGGTTTACTATCGTTGTGTGTGTTACCGATGTAGAGCCTGTGCCCTAAAGTACCATATACATAATCATGGCTTGATTTTGATTGATGGCGTGACAGCTAACATATGGAAGGTTTGCTGGTTTACGAGACTGACGCAAACTGATGGCAATTAACCGAGGTCTATCATCCCTCCATATAGTAGTATTGGTGTGTTGTGTGATCGCTCTTCTTGGAACACCAACAGACTTATGGGAAGGTAAACATGGTAAAAGTCATACCAATAATCTCCAATTGGATACATCGGAGAGAGCCTGATAAAGTTGCATACTCCTACCCAACTTGTATTAATGAGTCAAAAAAGAAGATTTAGACCTAAACCGATCAGGCACAAGAGAAAAAAAACAGGAAAAAAACTCTGGCCCGGTTGTAACATTGTTTGATAACAAGACATATTGATTAGGCTTTAATACGTATGCAATTGCAACCAACGTTATTGCTCGTGTGAGTAGCGGATGTAAAATAAAACGAGTTGACGTTAAATGTCCCTTTCACTACCTTCCATATCTTGGCTGTGTCTCAATGAATGTACAATAGGGGACTC